GAGATCCTTATCAATGACAGAAAAAGCACAGCATATTATGGTTCAAAAAGAAACAGTACGCTACCTTAATCTTCTAATATACTCAATCACCCAAAAAATACCGTTAGTTTTACGAAACTGCTTCATACATCATGAAAACTAGCTTGAAATTGACTGCACCCCACATCAAGAAAATCATTCATCTTGGTTATTACTAACGAATACAACGAAAGTATGAGCGAGATCACAAAAATTCATTATTTGTGAAAATCTCGCGTGATGAATTCCTACTGTTAGACATTATTTTAATTTACGTTTCGATCCGAANACTCAATGAACAGACATGATAAGTCATCGAAAGAGGTTCGATTTTTTCTGTTTTTTGGCGCTTGATTGCGATGCCAGCTTGGCTGTAACATCACTCGTCATCCACTGCGGAAGTCGACGTTTTGAAGTGGTGCTGGTGCTCGATGAGTCAGCAGCATTTGGCTGGGATGAGTTCGCACTTGACACATCCACAGTTCGCGATGAGCTGCTCGGCTGGGATAGAGATCCGACTGTATCTGCTTTCTGTGATGAACACGTTCGGAAGTTTGCTGACCGCAAAGCTGAATCAAATCGATAAGAGTTCCAATCCACAGGAGGAGATCGCTGATCTTGACTGTCTTCTACTTCTTTACCTTTGTTTTCTTCTTCTTCTTCGACACCATATTCATATTCCAATAAAGCGAAGATGATCTTCAAACGATTGTAATCTATAAATCCATCCGGTAACCTCTCCATTATTGGCTTCAATCGTATGATATCTGAAAAGACATGAAACGTTACAGAATAAATCAACTGACGGAAGTACTCTTCCACCACCTATATGAATACTGCAAGAAGTTTACCGATAAACGAAAATAATACAATGCGGAAAAAAAACGAACTCGAGAAACTGTGAAGGAATTTGAATAAAAAACTACGAGTAGCAAATAGAATGATACCTGATCCATGGTTCCGAATTGTTTCCAGTATAGTGTCTATATTTGACTGAGTGATTTGTAAAACATCCAAATGAATCGGCAATCCCAATTTCACGCAATTTACAATATATGATGCGATTGTTGATTCACTGACATCTCTTAACTGTGCTAAGGCTGCCTAAAAAATTCAAATAGGTTTCATTCAAAATTTTAAAGAATTCGGAATATTTGAATCAAATAAATCGCATCAATTCGCAGAAATTAATTGGGCGAGTTATTTGTTCCATCAAATTTGTTACTCGAAAACAACTGTTAATCGCAATTGTTCATTAAATTCAAATAATCATCAAAAACAAATGATTTTGAAAAACAACTTCACAACGATTATTTGCTATTTGGAGGCGAAAGAAACTGATGAAAATATTCAACGAAAATAAAATACCAATGATAGACGTTGCTTCACGTGACTTTGGTATACAATACGATTGGATTCAGCCAGAAAATTCATCTGCTCAATTAATTCACTAGGTATCTGAAACACGGTTTACTATACAAGCAAGTGTGTTGCAGGAACGGAAAAAAGTCGGGGACCCCGGAAGTGCGATCGGCTTGAAAAAAGTTGGGGACAGGGAATCACGGACCCCAAAATCCCCTGATCTCCGCAATATACTAATCCAAACGTTACAAGCTGAAACTGCACGCTATTGATTTGGGAACTAACAACCTTGAGTAGAAGAAAGGTAATAAAAATTTGAAGAATTGTTCAACAGAAGCAACATATTCTGTTCACTGGTCTAAAACAAAAAAAGAAAAGGAGAAACAAACAAAATGGGAACCTTTGAATCGGCAT